ATATGGCAAAGCCATTGTTTGTGTTGTTGTTGTTTTTATTATGGATTTGGTTTTGTTTTTAATTCTTTGTTTGCAAACTTTCAATCCGATTGTGTTATGCCACTTGTGAAATTTCCTACCGCAAAGACAGCATTCAACATTGAAAGATATACGTGTAGTCAAGTATTGTCTATGCATGGATTTCAAATTGATTTAATTTAATTTTAGGTCAAACAAAAAGGCAAGTAGCTTGATTTCATCCATAGAGTTTTATTCACTTTATTAACAAATAAATTAATGAACTTATAAATTGATAAGCAATTTTTATGGCGGCTTGTTCGTTATTCTTTCATAGTCATTACCACGCGTATCTAAATTATCGGCTTTATCTTCTATTTATTTATGTCAATCTCAATTATGTAACGCTTATCATCAATTTGTTTTTATTAAATGAATTAAATATATATATTAAAATACTATTTCTGTATATGTATGTTGTAGATATGAATTTTTCTTGTTTACATTAATTGAAACAATTCCTAATCACATTAGATGCTCTTATCAGATGGTTAATTAAGAAATCAGTTACGCAAATCGTATACGCACTTACCCATATATAAACAAATAAATATTTATTTAACAAGCTTATCTTCGTTTAATAAATGGTCTATTACTTCTTCTAGATAAACAAAAAATTAACAAATTATATTAAATAATATCATTTACGTAAATGCGTGTAGATAGATACAAAATTTTTCTACAATTCAGATTTTTTTTTTTTTTCAAAAAAAGTTTGACGTCACTTCCTAAAAATAAATTCTAGTGCTACAAAAACTATATCACGCACACGAATGGACAACAACTTTACGTTTTTTAGTTTTAAATACTTTTTTTAATAGAATATTTTAAATTTTGGACTGTGAAATGCCAAAGGTGCCGAAAATCCTGCCTACTACGAGTACATCGAATACTCTTCTTGTTTTGTCTTTAAAGGTTTAAAGGTCTAACACTTGGACTGAAAAGTCTTGGGACAAGGAAAAAATCGTTTTGAAAGATCAAAGTTATAAAGGGTGTTTTTTCGACGTGTAGCTTGCAGTGAAGCAATAATTATTACGGAGTTGAACTTATTGATAGCTTAATTTATGAAGTTTAGTTTAGTTTGCAATTTCAAAATTAACAGATTTACTCAAGAAAAATATTCAGAAATTGTGCAAATTTATTGCAAAATTAATAGTTTGCTTCGAGTGTCGCATTGGGCGCTACAACCATTACTCGATCGACATAATCGCCTAGCAGAGTCTATAACGCGAGCTCTTTAAGTTCGACGAGATGGAGCAGCAACTTGCTCTTCAGCTCTATCTGCAGATTCATTTCGGCGTCATTGCCCGGTCGCGCCCGACCTATTCGAGAAAGTCACAACTCAATCCTTGCCATTGCTTTCTATACCGCCAGCAACCATGTATCGGCTTCGCAGCTACGCTTACCCTCAGAGACGTAGAACACGACCATTAAGCGTGTTAGGTGAATGCGCCCAAAGCAAAACGCCCACCGAACCCGATTGTCACAAGAAAATTTTGTTCAGCGATGAAGCTCTTTCTTAGTTGTATGCATGGGAAAGTTAATAAACAAAATTATCCCATTTGAAGTGGTGATACTCCACAAACCATTGCTGAGATACCATTACCTCCTCAAAAGGCACAGGAAACAAGTGCTAAATGCGTCCCGATCCATATATTTTCAAAAATTAAATTCCATTTATATTATTTTCTTTTTATCCTGTATCTATTTAATTTATTTTCGTAATACATTTTTCATCCGAGTGTCTTCGCTTCGTTTTATTATTTTTCATTTTATTTTTTTATATATGTATATATTATATTTTTTTATATCATTTATGTTATATTATTTAATTTTTTTCCAACCTGGATTTCTATTTAATTTTATTTTATTTGGTTTTTATCCGCGGTAGCCGAGTTTTTAGCACTGCGTACCGACATTCGAAAGCCACCAGCATTTAAAAGTTATGGAAAATTAATTTAAATATAAAAAAAAATTAAGTCAAATTTTCTAATTGCGTTCGCGTCTCGGCAGGGAATGTCCACCCCTCTGAGTGTATTTTGAACATGATATTTCAGGCTCCTCGTAAAAAACATCAGCCGTTCGGAGGCGGCTTAGTACAAGCTGTAGGTCCCTCCATTTATTGGAAAAATATCAAGACGCAAAACCACAAATTGGCGGCGGAGCTCGGCCGAAAAATCGCTACAGCGGTTAGAAAGCGCCAAACTGATAAAAAAAAATATATATTATTGTATTTATCAGTTTATGCATTAATTCGTGCGTTTTTTTTTTTCGAAAATTAAGACTTTATTGTTAAAAAATGATTTTAATCGTCTGGAAACGGTTGTTTTTTCTAATTTAAAATTTTTCCATTTTAATATCAAATATTATTTTGTTTTATTGGACTTTGGATTTTAGTTTAATTTAATTCTATTTTATTTCCATATTCTATATTTTTATATCTCATTATTTCATATTAATTAATATTTTTTCTTTTAAATTTTAATTATAGTTATAATTATATGATTTTTAAATTTTAGCAATAACTTTTATTTGAATTTTGACGTTAAATTAATTTCATTATTTTATATGCTTACATAATTTTATTATTGTTTTAAATTTAAATTAAATTAATTTTCTTTTTTATTTTAGTTTATTTTAATTGTTTTTCTTTTAATTGATTTTTTTAAGTTTTCTCCCTCAATGGAATTTAAAATTTATATCTAAAACATCTGTTTATCTTAACTTGTGAGAGTTTATTTGTATGCTAAACATTTCACGCCGTTGACGCACAGTACGTGTAGCGCCATCAAATAGCAGAGCAAAGTTTATTACATTCTCCATATGGGCGCCTTCAATTAGCCAAATAGAATATAATTGCACGCTCAAATGTATATAGAATTATTCAACAAATAATGACCACTTTTAAACAATAAAACCAAATAAATAATGGGAAGTGTAAATTTGAATTATGCACATACATATATACAAACAAAATAATAATATTTATGGCATTTGAATATTTAAGAATATCAAGGTCACTAACCTAAAAATAGTTAAGGTGTGGATATGCTTTTTTATATGTATTTTTGAGAATATTATGCTCTATGATTAGAACTTTTTTTATATATATATTTTTTTTTTTTGTATTTATTTGTGAACTGTCCAACGAAGGGAGAAACCACTACAATTTAAAGTCTCCACCGAATGGCTGAGGAATTTTTGTGAGAAGCTCTTGCTTTTTTTCGAATTCTGACTCTCTGGCTCTCAAAACGTACTACTGCTCACTCGACTACTGAGACTGCATTGCGTATTTAAATGTACTTATCATACTGGTATATATGTAAATATAAAATTTGCTATATAAAATTAGAGTCTTTATTCACTGGAATAATACTTGTTTTCTTTTCTCTGTATTTTCACTTATGCGCTTCAATTATAGTGCAATTAATCTCAGTTCCATTGTATATAAGAAATATTTTCAATACATTTTTTTCTAGAAATATTCTTGTAATACAACATAGAAGGCCCTGCCACACGTTGCTGTAGTTTTTTTTGTTTTGTTGAATACAATCACGACAAGATGATAGCCTTTGAATTAGCCGAATGCTCATACTTGTAGAAAATAATATTGAACGAATAAGAGTAGTTTGCAACCCCAAGGATGTAACCGCATCGTCAAGCTCAAAACAGACTGCCTACTAACATGACACAGCGATCTACGAACGATCTATATTTTTATCCAAATTATATTTGCTTTTCACCGATTTACTGATCCCTGATCCCTGATGTTAACTTTGACTTAAACTAACCAACCTCTAAATTTCTACAAAATCGAACTTGCTCCCTGTTCCATTGCCGGCATATATTTGCTTCGACAAAAAGATACTTTCTTATAAAAATTTAACAAAATCGAACCATATAAATATTATCTCAATGAGATCGGTATTAGATTCACTTAACTAAAAGATATTTGATTAGGTTACACTCTGGTCTGCTGATGTGCCTTACATAAACCCGTCGGTCCTTTGGCTAGTGACAGATGGAGGTTCGTTTTATTGCGTTCTTAAGTAGTCATCGTATATGGCGTCAACGCCTTTTGGGTCTTAATATCGTAATTTGAAGCCACCCCTAGTTCTTTGAACTGCTAAATTTCGACATATCTGAGACGAGTTCTAGCAAATGCCGCACAGAAAGAGAGTAGTTGTTCTATTGTCTCATTAATCGCTTCCTCGCTGTGCGTCACTGCTACTAATACCCAATGACAACCTACAGGTGGCCCGTCAATCAGTAAAAAAAAAACTTTTTTACAGTCTTAACACATTCGAATAAGTAATAATTAGTGATTTTGTTGATTCTGCTTGTCACTAATGCGTTCCACCTCAGTCTGATCCGGTAATAGTTTTTAGTAGAAATAGTTTTTAGCGACTTTTGTATATTTTACTCTTGTTCGTTAGTAAGACACTTGACACTTTTGGTATTTCGTTGTTTATAAAGCCCTTGTGCTTTGGAACCCTGTATCTGTATATGCAACTGTTTACCCTCGGCCGTGCTGTCAATTGTTAAATCGAATCATAAGCTCGATTTTTTCAAATTCCACTTTCCGGAAAAAAATATAATTATTTTAGCAAAATTTTATACCAAAAATTATGTATATAACATTTTTTTCGAAAAATTATTTCCTCGTTCTCGTCCCGAAATTCTTTCTATTAAATTACTTTAAATATTTCTGCCAGATGGCAACTCTTTCCATATAATAGACATTTTATAGTACACACCCTCCGCGTTTCAATGAAGCTATTCTGAAAATTTAAACAAAATCAGATGTGTAGTTTCGGAGTTATACATACCCATAAACATACATATGTACATCATATAATATACTATATACATACATTTATATAAAAATATTTTTTATTGCCTACCAACATATATACTTAAATGTGTTTTACGCTTGTTTACAGATTATCGGCTTAATTATTATTGTCGCCTCAGTATGGATGCTCACCGATCCCACGTTTGTACTGTCTATGACCCAATCCTATAATCACTACTACATTGCGCTCTATGTTTTTCTCGCCATTGGTATATTAATCACACTCGGCGCTTTCTTTGGCTGCTGCGGTGTCGTGAAGGAATCCCAGTGTTTACTTGTATCGGTGAGTAGCAGATAATAATATGCATACCATGTACTTATGGACTATGTCAAGAGAATTGAGATATTATATGTATGTAGTCTTTTACTTTTAATTTAGTATGTCACGCGTACAACCTCCAAAAGTTGTGGCTGTGACTTTTGATTAGTAGACAAGAGAAAAAGTTAGTGATTTGAACACAGTCGCCTACGCACATTGCACAGCTGCATTTTCCTGGCGATGAATGGCGCACGCATTAGCCACCCACTGCGTTTATTGCGTATTGTAAGCATGCTAAGCGCCGTAGTGCCATAATAGCAGGCACTTACGAGGACCGTCCCACGATAAAAGAAACTGCTGAGCGAAATTAAAAATATTTTTTTTTTAAACAAATTTATTTTAGACAATTTACTATCACCCCTAAATAAGATCTTTGACTATTTTTATTATCTATTTTTATTATTCTCTTTATATCTTTAAGTACAGATTAGAAATCTCATCTTTTTTATGTTGTGCCATCCCTACTCCTTTAATCAGATGCGATTGAAAGCGTGTAGCCTCAGTTGCATCACGTGGTTATGCACATTTTTTATATGGGTTTGCATTCTTTTCAACCCGCTTAGACGTATTGTCTTTAATGTAATGGTCTTAACCTTTCCAAAAGGTTACACCTATAGATAAATGTATTTTATCCAACATATTTAAGGCGCACGGATCAACACAGGTGACTTCTTAATGGTGGGTATGAAATTTATTACCAAAAGTCCGTGCTCAAGTTGGATCGTATACGAGCTTTCAAAAGTCTCTTAAAATGCAATATAATTGGCGTCATTTGTGTGTTGGATCCGGAACTTTTCAGCTCATGTGTTATTTCTTTCTCTGTTAGAAATTGATTTTCCCATCAATGCTTTAGACAGACTGTTACTTATAGTCCAACCAGCCATACATACATACCTTCCATTCGTACCCTAGCCGACTTGAAAGAGAGATATATATTGTGCCATCAAAAGTTGTGGCGGTCGCTTGTAAATACGAGATTTCATTGTTGCGAGACTATTAATCGGAGCTGTTGCCAACCAATAACATAATATAGAGTGTCAAGGGAAATATGGAAAAAAATCTAATATACTTGTAGTTATAAAGTTCCTTACCCAAGAGCTAAAATCAGTTGCAACCATAGGGACTATGATCTTACAGCAACTCTTGACCAGAAAAACCCGTGATGTAGCAAAGCCAAAGTTTATTTAAACAAGGAATAGAATCCCTTAAAAAGGCACCGAGAACGAGCAAAGCACCGTAACTGTTGCTTCAGCCTCATTTTCGCCCGCCGGACGATAAATCACGTCAAGCACTTACTCGTTGAGGTTGGGGAGGCTTTTCAACAATAAATCTTGGGTTTTCCGAGCCCCAAATGTGACAGTTTTGCTTATTGACGTAGCCATCGAGGTGGAAACGGACCTCATCTGTTAAGGTGATTTTTCATTTTCATCGTTCATCGTTCCATTTTTATTGCCGGCGTAGTCTTTACTTGTCAAATTCCAAAAAAAAATTACAGCTTTAAATGTTACGTTTCAAGATTCTTTAAAAAAAATTAATTTACTTAGGTAATATAATATTTATTTGGGAAATAGTATAGATGAATCAGCTGAGTAAGTTTTACTGAAAATTTTAAATCTCCGCTGGTTGCTACGCTACGGTTTCAACGGCATCGGCAAGAAGTGATGGCACTCTCATAAGACAGATTGTTTTTGGATGGTTCGACTACGAGACAGACTACGCTCCGACAGTGTGTGTGTTATTTCTTAGTTGTCTCGTTTCCTAAGGGACTAACCTTGTAGCTGTGTATATATTCGTAGGTATGCATGCAGGCGACTTGCGAAAATTCTTTGCAGTTGTAAACTTTTGGTGGCGTGTAGCAGACATTTTTATTATTACATTTTTTGTCTTCGTCTTTATTTTATTTTTATTTTTTATGATTATGCACATGATTTATGACTTTCAATACTTACTAACAATAACACATACATACACGTATGTATGTCTATGCTTATATATTTACTTTGTAGTTCTTCTGCGTAATTTTGGTAGTGATGGTGGCACAGATTGCCGCCGGCGCATGGGCATTCCACAATAAAGACAAACTCGATGACATCGTACGTGCGTCCGTAAAGTATTCGGTGCAGGAGGAATATGGCCAATCAAGCATGAGTTCGCGTACGGTCACATTCGATACGATACAAAAGAATGTAAGCTTTTATTTGTTTATGCATATATAATATAATACATACAAACGAATATACATACATACCTACATATGTATAAACGAGTATTCGAGGAATGTTTAGCGTGTGGTGTTTATTTATTTAGCGCCTACACACTTGTAAATACTATTATGTATATATGATGTATGTATGTATGTATATATACATGCATGTATATATCTAGTTGGTACTCAAATTTCTTAATTTTTTTCTTTCGTTTTTGTTTTCGTTCCAGCTGAAATGTTGCGGTGCTGATGGACCGGCTGATTGGGCAACGAGCCGTTTCAACAATGTCGATCGTACAAATATCGTCGATATTGCCATTTCTTCGATGAATGTATTTTACAATATACCCGAATCATGTTGCAAAGACGAATTGAAGGAAAATGTGTGTGAGATGTCGAGAAAATTGAAGTTCGGCGGTTCACTTAATCAGGCAATATATCAACAGGTTCGTTGGATGGTTCATTTCGGTTGTTAATTTTTTTCGATAATTTTCGATACCAATATTTATTTCGATATGCGGGTGTACAATAGCTAATAATACGCTCTAAGATCTTATTATGACCGAAAGTCTCAAAACTGAAAAGACCGGTCCGATTTTGCCGGTCCCAGTGTCTGTGTACTAAATTTGATTGAAAAATTCCACAAAATCTTGTCCCACAGTTTGTTTAGGAACAAACGGACATTGCTAAATATTGATGCCTCTATCACTTCTTCCTCTGGTACTTCTGGCACATACATACAATATGAAAGGTATGAAATCCAATAAGATCTTCGGAGTCAGCTTAAAATTGTAAATAAACATTTTAGAAAGAGTTTTTAGATATTCTCTGAGCAACTGGAGATTAAAAGACGTCTCAAAAGAGTTATTTAAGACATGCAATTCTGGGAACCGAGAGAAATCATCCGTCTGTTTAGGGGAGGTGTACTTAAGTAGGTCTATACTTGTTCCTTAATCGCGATTTATATATCTGATATGAAGAAAAGGACTTTTCATAGAAAGCTCTCAATACGCTCGAAGCTCGATTGAAGATTGGGATGTGGAATTTGCTCTCCCATGCTCTCAATGAACATAACCAAGAGACTGCCAGACTCCTTCAGCGTTTTCCAGGCGGAACTCCTTGCAATTAAGGAGACAGAAGTATAATCGGTTACAATTTTCTCCGTCAGTCAAGTTGCCATCAGGTCTTTACAATATAACGGTACGATGCCAAAAGTGGCCATAAAATAAAGAATCAATCTCAACAAACTCTCAATTAAATCTAGTGCTGCCGTGGTCTGGGTACCTGGACACAGTGACATCCCAAGCAATCGCATAGCAGATGAACTGGCAAGAGAAGAAACAAACACAAGACGACTGAACGAGATCACATGTAAAGCGACCAGACATCATTGGCCGATGTTGGACGTGAAAAAATCAAAACATCTTATCCTTTTAGATCGGTTCTCCATTAACATAACGACTAGCATAATAACTCGATATTGCCTAATGGGGTTTCACGGGAAAAGAATGCGCTATCGATCTAACGGTTTTTGTCCCAGCTGTAGGAACTAAGATAAGGAGGAATCTATCGAGCACTATCTCTGTCACTGCCCAGCCAACAAATCCTTCGATTGTCTAGCTGAGATAGCCTTAGCCGAGATTGGAAATCTAGTTGCCTTTACAAGGCATACGAAATGGCAGGATCACTTGAGAAGGTGAAGACAGGAGCTTCACAACGGTATCACAATGGGCCTATTGACCTTACTAACGAAAGATAAAGAGGAACAGTGGAGTTAAGCAATACCTTGCTCAGTAGGCCGGTCGAGGAGTGGAATGTATTTACCTCAAATTTCAACCCCAACTGTTACAATCTCTTGTCTTGTAGGCTCATATTGCTCGCTTGTGTTTTTCATTTTGTATAATAACTTTTGATTGTTGTTGTTATAACCACAGTTTTATTCTCCAATATGATTTCCAGGGAATGTTGTGGTGATGTGACATTCTTCGCTGGATTAAAATCTGTGTCATATTCGATTTTAGTCGTCTCGTGCTGCAGGCATGCCTTTACCCTCTAAACCTCATGGGTTCAATACACTTATGTATGTGTATGTCTTTCTAAGAAAGCAACTTAAAAAACTTTTTTACTTTAATTCACAAGAATTAAGAGACTTCTTGTAAAAAAAAATCCATAAAACCACTTAAAAAACCCAATAGGAAATATTGAGCAAACCAAAAAAATTATTTTTTTTTCGCTTCAACACTCAACACTTAAAAACTGAACATCAATTAAGTAAATCAAATGTTAATCTTATAATAGAATACATAAACTATTCAATTATCAGAGCCGCTACTATTATATGTGGTCTTTTGGGTCCTTGAATTAACGGGATAGAAATCAAGATCCTTTCACATCAGCAATATTGCCTACACTTTCAAATATGATTTGACTAGTAGTTGCATTTTCAACTCTTTCTGCTGCTCTTTATAGTCAGCCATAAGCCCATTTAAATATTATTAAGTTGTTTTTGCAATAGTTTTAATGTCGAAAATCCTCCAAAATTAGAAAATAAAATAAAAAAAAGGAGTTGAGTTATTTTTATAGCTTCATAAGCATATCAAATGTACGATATTTCATTTTAGAATTATATATTAATTCTCATATCTGAAAAATTCTTTGAAAAGTGCTATATTATAAAAGTTTTGTTCGGCGACTATATGAACACTAACAATTTTTACCGAACTTTAGTAAATCGTGTTCGTTGAGCCGAAAACCCAGTAAAATTTGTAACGACAGAGCACAATTTTGTTGTTTGGTTTGGAGAGAAAGTTGCAAAATCGTGCTGGGAAAATGTTAGCCAGTAAAAACTAGCGAATTTGAAAAACAGCTGTTTATAAAAATTTATTTAAAATGAAAATAATGTTGCAACGCTCACAGGTACCACGATGCACAAAATGAAATATTAGGTTTTTACAATATAAGGTAGTCAAATATCTCCCTTCCGCTTTTTTGCTCTTCATTCAATGCTTTATAAAAAGTGTTACCGTGATCGGATTTAGTTAAAACATACGCCGTTTTGTTCGATGATCTGTTTCCATCTAGACGGCAACTTCATAATACCTTCCTCGTAGAAGCCCCCCTCCTTATTTGCGAAGAATTCGGACAGCCACTTTTCACAAGCCTCTTTTGAGTTCAACTTCACACCACCAAGGGCATTCGCCATGGCGCTACGTCCGGGCTATATGGTTGATGCGATAAAACCTCCCATCCGAGCTCTCGTAGCTTCTGACGAGTCTTCAACGAATTGTGTGGTCTGGCGTTGTCCTGGTGGAACACTACACCCTTCCTGTTGGCCAATTCTGGACGCTTCTGGTCGATCGCCTGCTTCAAGCGGTCCAGTTGTTCGCAGTAGATGGTAGAATTAAGCGTCTGGCCAGTGGTTCATAGTGGATGATTCCCTTCCAATCCCACCAAACACACAGCAACCTTCCTGGCCGTCAATCCCGGCTTGGCCACTGTTTGAGACGATTCACCGGCCTTCGACCACGACCGTTTTCGCTTGATATTGTCGTATGTGATCCATTTTTCGTCGCCAGTCACCATCCGCTTCAAGAATGGGTCGAGTTCGTTCCGTTTCAGCAGCATATCGCAGGCGTTGATTCGGTCCAGAAGGTTTTTTTGCGTCAAATTATGCGGCACCCAAACATCAAACTTCTTTTTGTATCCAGCCTTCTGCAGATGGCTCAAAATGGTTTGGTGACTAACTCCCATCTCCTGGGTGATGTCATGGGATGCCAATGTCGGTCTAACTCGATGTATTCCATGATTTGATCGGCATTTGTTGTCACAGGTCTTCCGCCGGCTGGCTTATCCATGGTGTCGTTTTCACCGGCTCTGAATCGTCGAAACCATTCCTCCGCGGTTCGAAGTGATAGAGTACCATCCCCCAAAACACCATTAATCTCACGGAACGTTTCTCTAGCGGATTTGCCTTTAACAAAGGAAAACTTTAAAATAGCGCGAATTTCGGCGTTAGTGAACTCCATGTTTGCACGTCTATAACTGTTGAACGCAATATCCAAACGGTTATGTCAAGACCTTTCAAATTATGTATATTGTTGCCAGATACGAGCTCTATAGCGCTTTGTACATAGCCGCGAAATTCAAAAGATAAAAAAGCGGATAGTTGACAACCTAATATTTAAACAGAATCGAATAAACTCTATAATGTTGAATTACTATAGTGGACTTACACGGAAAAAGAATTTCAAACTCATTTTCGTGTTTCAGCCATCCTTCCTGACAATCTAAGCAAATAAAGCAAGTTTTATATAAATCTTCGACCTTTAAAAGAACAATTGGTATGTATTTTTTATCTTTGATCTTGAATATAATTAAAAAAATTAAAATGCCATTCAGCTGCTAATTTTATTAAAATACTTAGCAAAATAGTTAACAGCAGAAAAAATAAATGAAAGAAAGAAATTTTAGCCGCCAAAAAAAAACAGCTGTTGACATCTTACTCTCTCAATTTCGTTACTGGCTAATTCATTGACATTTCTAAATGAACACAGCTAAAGTTTTCCGAAATCGACAGTTTAGGTGGCAATGTACTTTTGTATATATGCAAATGTGTGGAATACCCATTTCGAAGCTTTTAGATGATTTTTGACGAATTTTTGACCACAAACTTCACATAAGAAAAAATCGATTGTCTATATATACTATATTGCTTCGATCTAGCCTGTTCCGTCAAATGGCCCATTAAATCTGTGTACCAACTAAATCAATTCAGCTCGCCGTTGTAAGCATATTTCTACCTCTTCTCCTGGCATTTACACAGTTCGGATCAAAGTAAATAAGAACATTTGATGTACATGAAAATTATTAAAAAAAATATCATAGCGTGTTTGAAAAACAACAACAAACAACAGGCCTATATATCAAACAAATTAGAAATCGCACTTTCATATTTTCATAATAATATGACCAGCACTGTAAATAAATAATTTGAAATGAATATGAAACTAATTGATTTGCATTGTTTCGCTTTCAGGGTTGCGTTGATAAATTAATTGAACTCATCTATGAGAATTGGGTTATGCTTTTCGGCATCACAGCGGGCGTTATTCTCTTGGAATTTCTAGCGTTGACTTTCTCATTGAGCCTTTGCTGTGCGGTACGTAATCAACACTACAAAGCCTGAGAATTACTGAATTCCCAGCGGGAAATAAATGACGATGAAAAATATTAACAAACCAAACCGAGAAGATTGAGGACAAGAGCGTATTGAAATGCCAGCAAAGTAACAGTAAACCAAGCGTTATTAAATATGTGAAAACCAACGACATGAATTTTGAAGAAAATTTATGAAAATTAAAACATTACTGGGAAATGAAGAAAAAGCGGAAAGGAATGATATTGTAGCACAACTTTGAAATGTTTATTTTCGAACGATGAAATGAGGAAAAAAACATATGAGTACATATTAAGAAAAGGAAATGAAAATGGAAAAATGGAAAGTCAATAACTGATTTCAATATAAAAACTGTTGTGGCTATACACTTTCCATAAACCATATGCATAATAATTTGCTGGGGAACTTCTATTAAATTAAAAAAATAAAATAAAATAAAATAAAACAAATATTTTTTTCTTTAAACAATTTTATAAACTTTTTTAATACAATTAATTTGTAAGCGATTAAAAAAAGAAACTCAACTCTTCATCTTCATATTTACAACAATAATCAAAATGCATAGCTATCATATAAAGTTAAGTGTAAAAAAAAATAGAATAAATATAATGGAAATTAAAAGCAAAAAGTAGCAATATTTCAAACGCTCATCTAAACGATTTGCACTACTTTCCAAAAATTTGTTGTAAATTTTATTAAATTTTACTAAATTGTATTTATGCGTATGCTCAAATTCTTCCCAATGCACAAAAAGTATATATATACATATATAGAAGTTCCAGGTCTTCCGCGCAAGAAAATATAGGCATATGTGTGTGTGCATATTATATGTATTTATTTTATACTTTTCGCCAAATGCCAAATGTAAAAAAAGTTATAGTATGTATGTATTGAAAATCATAACACCGTTATGAGAATATACTTTAAATAACACAAATGCAGTATGAATTAAACACATGTGAAGTCAAGAGATAATAATTTTAAACTGAAAATCTGCTTGAAACAGCACAAAAACCGAAATTTTCAATACGAAAATAGCACAAGTTTACTTAAGTTTTATTATACATATATGTATATGTATATGTAAATGCTTTACATATTGTTTTTTTTTCAAATATTGAATTTTCGAAGCTTAACACTGTGCCATTTATATAACCATACTTATAAAATTTGATACATAAAATATTTTATTTTTTCTCTCTAAGTTTTCTTATTTTTACTATTGTGTATGTGTGTGTTTTTTTACAACTGCATATTTATTTTTATATAACTCTTTTTTTTGCAAAGTTTTTACTTTGAGCCATTTTAATGCTTAGGAGTACTGACATTCCACAAAAATAAAAATAAACAAAAGAAAAACGTTTAGAGATGGGTAACTGACAGTAACAAAATTGGAATCGGTGCTAACTGCGAGTTGTAAAAATATGAATATTTAATGTGTTATTAAAACATTTCGTTGTGTATTTTATATAATAAAAATGTATGTATGAAAAAACAAATTCGAATTACGTGAATTAATAAAAAATTAAAATCAATTAAGACAATCGCGGCAACAAATTTAAATTTAACTAATTAAACTAAATATTAAAGTGTCAAATAACTGTTTGATATATTTGAAAAATAAAATAATTAAATTTTTAAAATTTGCTTTTAGTGGAAAAATTAATGTTGTCTACATATAAAGTTGCCCATCTCTATTTTGTTGAAAATTAAATTATTTGTGATCTAATTGAGTATTCAAATTTATGTCACACATACATACATATGTACATGCAGAAACACACGTTTATTATATCTTAAATAGGGGCCCCAAAACACTTGCCAGTTCCAAAAAAAAAATTTTTTTTTTAAATCTTTCGAAAACACCAACGCAGTACCTAGTAAGCAAATTAATTTGTCAGAAACCCTACAGGAATGTGAAATAATACGTCGGGCTTAAGTTTATTGGCCGCTCTCAAGTTGAAATGATTTAAGTTTATTATCTTTTCTCAAATTAAAATGACTTAACTTTATTATCTACGCTTTGTTTCTTACTTATTAAATGAATTTTAAATTATACTGTATTATTTTTCTTTTGCATTTCTTACGTCTTATTTTTTATTTATTATTATCATTATTACTTTTGGTTATTTATGCTTACAAAAACGATTATTAACCTTACTAAACCACCTAAGCCAACGAAGTCCAAAATCAACAAACGTTTTTAGTACCTAACACGTGTTACAAAAAAAAAAAGGAAAGTAATTTTATTTTACAACAAATACTCTAAGTTTTAATTATAGGTATATTGTTTTGTGCATAAATGTCTTAAAAATAATTTATGTAAGCACGACAAATGATGAAATATTTTAAGTTAAGTTACATAATCTAACAAACAATTGCACATGGACTTAAAACATTCATACATACAAACCAAGGCACACAATGTTACTGGAAAAAAAAAACATTAATACAGATGTGTGCATTTTATTTAGTTACATAATTTATTTTTTTATAATAAAATATATTTTTTCTATAATATATTGTACGTAGCTAAATTGAATTTACAAAAAAAAAAAAAACAAAATAAACAAACAAAAATTGTAGTTCAAGAATCCACACAAAGAACTTATTTATTAGAAAAAGAAAAATGAAAATGATACAAAATGATTGTTGTTATTATTATTGATTAAATAAAGTGTATTTTTAATAAACACATCTATTACTTAAATAAATATTATTAAACCTGTACGTATGTATATTTACTGTAACCTAGTTAATTTGTTAGTTGAAGAGCAAATATCTTTTAAACCAAATATACACACAAAACTAACTGAGAACTAGTTATGTTAAATGAGCGCAGAATTGATAGCGAAATTTTGAAAAGGATATTTAAGACAAAAAAAAAATAATAATAATAATGAAATAAATAAAATAAAAATTAGAGAATAGTTAAACAAAACTCAATTTAGTGGATTAGTTATGAAGTGACAACGCACTCGTTTGGGCGAAGAGAAAATAGTTAAAATTAAAAATATAAATAAAAAGTAAATTAAAAAAAAATAAAACTTAATAATAATTAATAAAGTCAAAGTAACAAAATCATCACATATGTACGTATGTGTGTATAGCTAATGATAATTTTTTAGTATAAAAAAAGAAAAAAAAATATTTCTAATAATAAATGAATTCATACATAATTAAGTAAAAGTATGTATTCAACGTGAAGTATTAATTAGTCACATTATGGGAGTATTTAACAAAATGCAATATTAACGGTGGTGTTCAAAATAATGGAAAATAAAAATGAAAAAGTAAAAGAATTCCAAAATATGATATATACATATGTATCTATATATAAATGTAGTAAGTATATCGATGTGGCGCAAAACATACGTTAGTTACTTTATTTAATTTCACTTTATTAAATTTCCCTTTGGTGCAAACCACAAGTGATCGAAAATATTGTACATACACACATATGTATGTACACATGTTTAAGCTAAGCACTCGCTTCCGATTTCTAGCAAGAAATTTTCTATTTTTTTTTTTACTTAGCGGCGAAAAACAGTCTCGCATGCTAAATTTGAATACTAGTAAAGCGCATATCGCATGCGATATTTATTTTTTCAGTGCAGGTACTTTATGATATACTAAAATGCCACCGCAACTTACTTATTAAAATGGTTTATGAGAGTCAAATAAAAATGAATGCATTAGGTTTTAAGAAAATATTGTAGTGGTTATAAAATATATTTATAGTGTTAGGAGATAATAAATTAAAACATACATTTATACATGGGTACATTTATGTTTAATTTTAATTTATTTTATTTGTTAATTTTTATTTCTTTTTTAATTTTTTTTATTTCTTTATTTCTTTAATTTTTATTTTTTTATTTTTGTTTGTTATTTTTTTTTCTAATTTTTGTTTTTTGTTTTTTTTTCTAATTCACCAAAAGGTGCATTTCTGCATTTAAATATACCCGTCCGTAACTTTTCTAAAAAATTTCTAAGAAATGCAATGCAGCATTTTAATTGGCCTTACGACATGCCATTAAGCCGCAAGGGAATTTCAGCTTGTTTTCTCAAATAATCTGCTTAGAACAGTTCTAATACAGAAAACTGTCCGGCTTATCAAGCCAGAATATTGGCAAATATAAATTGAGAATCAATGAGTTTTTAAATGTTATGAGAAAGTTCGAAAGCCGGCGCTTTACTCAAATTTTATGCAAATCGTTGCTTAGCCATTTCGAAGTTTTCTAAGTGAATATTCCATGGATAGAAGATAATAATTATTTTTGATTTTAATTTTATCCACATGAAAATTTTCATTACACTCCTTTAGAGGCATATTTCTGGAGGTGCGATTCTGCAGTGATTTGGAAAATGGTGATCAATATGTGTAAAACTCAAAAATAATAATGAATTAAAATTTTAACTTATCGCTCAGAAAATAATTATTAACAATTAAGTTATATTTTTCACGCAAATACAGCTACGGCCGGACACATAAATGGCACATAATTTAATTCATGATAAATGCTAAAAAGTTTTCTACTGAAAGTTTTTCATGCCGTAATATCTCTGCGGTGTCCAAATATTCCATTATGTTTTGCATTTTGTTTCATATTAATCACTTTTGTGCTAACTTTCAGTGGGCACATAATTGGCCCAAATTAAATTGATTGATTGATAGATTGTTTTATTAAAAGTGTTTTGAGTAAAAAAATACTTAAAAAATAAAAATGGGATAAGGAAAGCTTACAACAGCTGAAGAAAAACGACTCATATGGGAAATGCATAAAGAGGGGCAGTTCGAAAGCTAAATGCGCGATCGGTCGCTGCAAAGAATGATAACAAACATGGTCCATTCTAGTCTTCGCGAAAGATAACATTTGATTCTAACCAATCACAAGAAACCATATTATCTGGTAGGCTTGTTCTAAGGCGGTAAAATGAAGCAAACTTGTTGGCAGATTTTCCAGGAAGTGTGGGTTTCCTGTCTGTCCAAAAAGGACATCAGGTGAAATTACCAAGTATCTACAGAATAACGCCAGATTGCAGAGTCTTGTTCATCATTCCAAACGCCAAGAACATAATTCCAGGTTCACACAGAAGACTATCAAACACAGGGTAGCGGAAATATTATGGTGAGGGGTGCATTTTCTTGGCATGCCATTAACGATAAAATTAGCAAGTTTCAGTATTTGAACATTTTGAAACATCCTATTCCTTCGGTAGCATGCCAATTAAATGGAAATTTATGGACGATAACGACCCCAAACAGTCATCCAA